TAAGGATGTTATTGCTATTTTTTTTTTTTTTTTTTTATAATGAAAAAATTATAGATTATTTTAGATTGCGTTTATAAATAAAAATTTTGCGGCAGTTTCAAGAGCCTGGATCAAAAATTATTTAAAGTAGAAATGTAATTAAGAAATAATGACAAAAATCTCAATTGTTTTATATAAATATTTCAAGTATTCAAGATGATTTAAATAATTTTGGATCCAGGCTCTTCATCACCGCTAAATTTTTTTTGTATTATCTTTAAACGCGGTTTAGAATAATCTGTAGATTTTTCATTTCTCGTTATAAATGTACAAATTATAAAAATAGATAAAATACATTTTTAACTAACACTTTATAGCAGCGAGAACTCAAAATCGAAGCATTCTTTAATCGTTTTCCATTATTTAAGACATTACTCTTCCACCGAGATTGATTGAGCCTATGAATCTTTGGAATGGAGTAAACGCTAATGCTTTTTAAGAAATCGTTTTAATTGATTTGGATCTAAATCAACTCGGGCGTCAAATAACTGTTAATCCTCCTGAAACGACAAATTTATTAATTTACTCTCATTAGCACTCCGATACAACGGGAACAGCTATCTTATTCAGAAGCGTGATATTTATGAGCTTCGTCATCGTAAAGAAGTTAATTCGTGGTATGCGGTCACTCCCGCCCAAATTTATCACCGTCTCGTCCTCCGGAGGAGTCGTCATTTCTTGCACCAACATCAATATTTCCATCCGTACGTTCTCGAGCGATTTAATCCACGTAATCCCGTAAATTCGGATTATATAAGATTGTCGCGAATATTTTCGCGCGGCCGCTTCGTCCTCGAATATCTCTTCTGACGCGTACGAGCTTCGATCCCTCCGCTTATCTCTGCCTGCTGCGTAAATATTGCTACTCGTAAAAGTTATCACGAATCGTTAATCCTCCCGAGAAGGATGCCCGTTGTTCCTTTCTCCCGCGCGAGAAAAATAACGGTGCACTCCCATCCTAAACACCGTGCAATATCCACGCCTATGGCATTCGCCTATCAGCCTACTTTACGATGGATATACGTCTTATCGCGTTCTCGCGATAGATATCGAAAAGATGATATGACGAATGTCTCTTTAGCTTTCGCTGTCTCTCTCTCTCTCT